TCCCACCCTCCCCTCTTTCTGCCTCAGTCTCTTCCAAGCCTTCTATCCTTGCAGAGGTTTCAAATTGTCCAGGTAGCTAGATCGAATCCATCTTTCCTGTTAGTTTCTAGAGAAGCAAGACCCAGCCTGGTTCTCTCCAGAAACTTTCTTTCTCCTTTGCTCAGCTCCTGTCATCATCTCCATGTCCCTGTCCCCGTGTTGCCTTTCCCCAGAAAGCCCTCCTGGTGTCCAGCTGGTCCTCCTCACCAAGGCAGCGGCTACTGAAGGGCCCTGACTGCTTCAGCTGACTTCAGTGGGCTGTGCAGTGTCTCCGTCTTTCTGTTCAGAGTGGGGATTAGCAGATCACGGCAGTTGCCATCCAGCCATCAGACATTCCCACCATCTTCCCTTTAAGCATGCCAAAATTCTTCAAATTCCTTATGTTCTAGATGGACCTCGAGGGCATCATGCTAAGTGAAATAAGTCAGAGAAAGACAAATACTGAATGATCTCACTTATATGTGAAATCCACAAAAGCTGAACTCAAAGAAAAGCACAGAGTAGCTTGATGTTTACCAGGGGCTGGGTTGGGGAACCAGGTAGGTGCTGGTCATCAGGTACCGATTTCTAGCAGTGAGATGAGTAAATCTGGGGGATCTAATGTAGAGCGTGCTGACTAGAGTTAACAGTACTGTAATGTATAATGACAGTTGCTGAGAGATCTTAAATCTGCTTATGACAACAAAATGGTCATTATGTGGGTGAAGGATGTGTCAACTAACCTTATGGCGGTAAATGTTTTGTGATTATATATATGTGTGTGTGTGTATCAAATCATCGCATTATACACCTTAAATTTACACAAAGTTCTACGTCAGTTATATCTCAGTCAAGCTGGGGGGGAAAAGATTCTTTTTTTTTTTTTTAAATCTTTATTGAAGTATGAGTCACATACTATCTAATTCACCTGTTTAAGGCATATCAGTCATGCCTTTGAGCCTATGTAGAGCCTATGTACATCCATCACCATGATCAACTTTAGAACATTTTCACTACCCACCACCCCCTGCGAATACCTGATTTTTAAACTAACATCCCCGAGTGCCTCCATCCCACCAAGTCATCCCTTAGGAGATGACTCATCTATTTCTATCTCTATAGATTTGGCTATTTTGGACATTTTATATAAGCAGAGCCCGTCGTGAAACATGTGGCCTTTGTGTCTGGCTTCTCTCACTGAGCCGAACTCGTCTGAAGTGCATCCCTGTGACAGCGCTTCACTCGTTTTCATGGTTGGATGACACTCTATCTTAAGACTCGCCACTATTTCTCAGTTAGCCATCATGTGGGTTGTTCCTTACTCCTTGAGCTCTTTCTTTGTTTAATTAAAAAAAGTTTCTGGCTGTGCTGGGGCTTTGCTGCCGCACACAGGCTTTCTCTAGCGGCGGTGGTGGGGCTGCTCTAGCTGCAGTGAGCCAGCTTCTCTCGTGATGGTTCACAGGCCCTGGACTGAGGCGCAGCAGTTGCCGCTTGTGGGCTCTGGACACACAGGCACAGTAATCGTGGCCCATGGGCTTTGTTGCCCCACGACGTGTGGGATCTTCCCAGACTAGGGATTGAGCCTGTGTCTCCTGCATTAACAGGCGGATTCTTAACCACTGGACCAAGGAAGGCCCCTTACGTTCTTTTTTAACACGTCAAGGCCCAGCTCTCTCTCCGAGTTTGCCTTTCAATTTCCAACCACGTTTATCATGTTTGTTACAGCCCCAAATGACTTCTTGGTTTGCTTGTGAGTGTAATCCCCATTCAGACATTATGTTCTGAATACCCATAATAAAATTAAAGGTTGGTTCTGTTAAAGAATTTATAAGACCCGCCAGAAGAAAGGATTCAGCCCATACAGTTTCTCTTTTCTTCTATGTAATTATCTAGGCTCTAATGATTCACTGAGTTTAGACGAGTGTTCAAACCGGCTGAGAATAAAATGAAGTTTTGCCCCAGGGAGAAAAATATTATGAGTGAGAAGCAAAGATACCTTAGAATTCTAGCAGAGAAACACACCAGGCTAGATGCTTTTCATATCTGTGGCTCAGGTGGCACTAACGACACCCTCATTTAACCCTTTCCTCCTTGGGAACTGATTTCTCCTGGGTGAGTTGTAGACTCAGGCCTGGTGTGTCACCTGCAGAGATGCTGCCCATTAGGCCCAGGGCGTCTTCTAGGTTTATCAGATCTCTCTGAAGTTTCTGAAGGTGCTTTTCAGCTCTGCTAGTGAAGTGTGAGAAAGAGGTCAGAGGGAATCAATAGGAGCAGGCCAGGGTCCCAGGCACTGGAACCGCCCAGCTTTGAATCTCATGTACTCAGGTCTGAACCTCCTGTGTGCTGGTGCTGAGCCAAGTTTCACCCGGATTTGCGTTATTGGGATTTCTGGTGCTGCTTGGGAACCTTATGTGTCTCTCCGTTAGAAGCCTGCCCTGAGGAATTCCTCCTTGAAAATCTCAGTGGCTTGATAATTATGCCCATCCTTCTTACTACTGGATAAATTCACTTCTGGGATTTGAGGATCCATCTAAAGGAGGACAAAGGCAAGTTAGCAGGCTGTAATGTAACAAGAGAGGAGGCAAAAACATATTTGTACACCAAACTGATCACAAGAGAAACATCAGAATTTAATTAAATTTCCTTTCATATATTTGAAAGTTGATAAGAGGATAGATCTTAAAAGTTCTCATCACAAGGGAAAAAAAAAATCTGTGTTGATTGATGTGAACCAGACTTATCATGGTGGTCATTTGGCAATATATACAAACATTGACTCGTTATGCTGTGTGCCTGAAACTAATGTTATGACAATTTTATCTCATTTAAAAAAGCTTTATATGAAATAATTTTTCCCTGAAACTGTGTGTGGACATGGGAACAAGATTAGGTTTTAGCGTCAGTAACCTTATGGCTCCCGAGCCCATCGCTCCTGTCTCTGAGCTCATGTCATAGGAGGATACCTGCCAGCCTGCAAGTGGGTCGTGTGAGATCTTGTGGGATCACTTGTGCATAATACCCCAGACAGAGCAGGTGCTTAGTGGGAGCTACATTTTGGTTTTCTTTTTCTTCTCACCAGTTATCTATTCCACGCATGGTAGTATATATGTGTCTGTTACTTCCTCCATTCGTCCCACTCTGTCCCTCCCCTACTCTGTCCACAAGTCCATTCTCTATATCTGCATCCCATTCTGTCCCTGCAAATGGGTTCATCAGTACCATTTTCTGGATTCCATATATATGCATTAATATAGTAATTTTTCTCTTTCTGACTTACCTCACTCTGTATAACAGGCTTTAGATTCATCCATCTCACTAGAACTGACTCAAATCGTTCTTTTTCCTGGCTGAGTAATATTTCTCTGTGTGTGTGTGGGGGGGTGTGTGTTCTTTATCCATGCATCTGTCAGTGGGCATTTAGGTTGCTTCCATGTCCTAGGTGTTGTAAATAATGCTGCTATGAACATTGGGGTACATGTGTCTTTTAGAATTGTGGTTTTCTCAGGTATATGCCCAGTAGTGGGGCTGCTGGGTCATATGGTAGTTTTAGTCCTAGTTTCTGTTCTCCATTTGTTGTTGTTCAGTCACTAAGTCATGCCCAACTCTTTGCAATCCCATGGACTACAGCACGCCAGGCTTCCCTGTCCACCATCTCCTGGAGTTTGCTCAAACTCATGTCCATTGAGTCAGTGATGCCATCCAAGAATCTCATCCTCTGCTGCCCCCTTCTCCTTTTGCCTTCAGTCTTTCCTAGCATCAGGGCCTCTTCCAGTGAGTTACCTCTTCACGTCAGGTGGCCAAAGTTTTGGTGAAGAGTCAACCCTGAATATTCATTGGCAAGACTGATGCTGAAGCTCCAGTGCTTTGGCCACTGATCTCCATAGTGGCTGTTATCAGTTTACGTTTCCACCAACTGTGCAAGAGGAGCTACTTTTAAAGCTTTTCTCCCCAAAACGATTTTTTTTTACCCTCCTTCATACCCAGATTTTGGGGGAACAGTTTACAAGGAAGTCCTTTTCCCACAGGATGGCGCTGCCGCTTCTCTGTGCTTGATGGAGACCATCCTTGTTTTCCTTGAGTATCTCCACCGGCAAGCATCTGGTGTTTGCTAATGTTCCAATCTAATAACCCTCAGGAACAGTACAGCCTTTAAAACGAAGTCCATTCTCCCAAAGAGGGGGGTGGAAAATTTGCAGAGATTATTGGTTTTCATTTACATCCTGATGTTTAAGGACGAGAGCCATAAACTGAAGAGCCAGAATTAGATAACATCAACTTAAAATACTGCGTGAGTGTCCCAAACAGCCAAGTAGACACTTTGTGTTTTCCTCCAGTGGGTTTCTTGGCAGCAAATTAAAAAAAAAAAAAAGGGCTACATGATTTAAGAAAACATTGTGGTGTTTAGTGATAATAACTTACATTTCTATAATGCTTCCCAGCTTATAGAAGGCTTTCCCATTATTATTTCTTTGAATTCTCCCAAGCCCCAGAGGTCGGTAAGACAATACTGTATTATGGTTGGGGAAATGCTGCCTCCACCACTTACCTACCATGTGGCTCTGTGGGGTTTAAAGGCTCAAAGCTTATTTCCCTAAGTTTTAAAATGGGAGTTGAATAGTCCCTTCCTCTTAGCATTGCGGTGCAGATTCTATGAGCCATTGCAGAAACAATGCCAGTGACATAGTAAGTACTTAATAAATGGCAAGAGTTTTATATTCCTAAGTATAAATAATCCACCCTTCACAGATGAGGAAACCCAAAATGACCATCAGTTTGCTGAAGACCACACCGTTCGCAATCAGCGGACGCTGAAGCGCAGCTCAGATGCCTCCACTCTCGCCCTCCCTCCCCCGTGCAGTACGCTGTAGCTGAGATGTGTCATCAAGGCTGTGATGCTCCTGCCTGCAAAATACCCCCAAGAATGACCCTCTTAGCCGGTTTCTCTGATGCACTCTTTTCCATGTCTGCTTTTGTGTTTGCAGAATATCATCAAGAAGGTAATCGGGCAGAAGTTTGTGTACAAATTTGTCTCTTTCCCGGAGATACTGAAAATGGACCCTCACGCGGTGGAGATCAGCCGGGAGAGCCTCTTGCTGCAGGACAGCGAGTGCAAGGCGCCCCCCGAGGGCCGCGAGGCGCACAGACACGGCCTGTCGGCCCTCAAGAGCGCCAGCCGCAATGAGTACATCCACTCAGGCCTGTACTCGTCCTTCACCATCAACTCCCTGCAGAACCCGCCCGAGCCCCTCAAGGCCATCAAGACGGAGAAGCTGGAGGAGCAGCTGGAAGACAGCCCCCCCGCGGAAGAAGTCAGGACTGTCATCAGGTTTGTGACCAACAAAGCCGATAAGCACGTCAGCCGGCCCGTGGTGGCCCTGCCCTCCACCTCGGAGGCCTTCCTGGCCTCGTCCGTGTCCGCCAAGATCTCCTCCTTAATGTCGCCGAACGCCGCCAGCATCTCGTCCGCCTCGCCCGCCTCGTCGCGGTCCCCGTCGCTGTCCCCCAACTCGCCCCTCCCTTCCGAACACAGGAGCCTCTTCCTGGAGGCCGCCTGCCATGACTCGGATTCCCTGGAGCCCTTGAACCTGTCGTCGGGCTCCAAGACCAGGTCTCCATCGCTACCCCCAAAGGCCAAAAAGCCCAAAGGCTTGGAAATCTCCGCGCCCCCACTGGTGCTCTCCGGCACCGACATCGGCTCCATCGCCCTTAACAGCCCGGCCCTCCCCTCGGGCTCCCTCACCCCAGCCTTCTTCACTGCCCAGGTAAGCGCCGTAGAGTCCTGTCGTCCCGGCCGCACACAGACTCATTGGCTTAGGGAAAAGTGGGGAAGAGGGGCAACTTCTGTCTTCGCCTCAGAGGGTGATCCTTGGGCCCCTGGAGCAAGGTCACTGTGCATTGTGCAGGGAAGTCACGCCCAGGCAGAGGTGTACACAAGAGAAATAGGCTGGGACACTCGATTGGTTTCTTTTAGGGGCCTAAAGTGATGTAAGAGGGCATATGCACACGGGCCATCAAAGCAGGTCCACACAGTGATTTCGGAGGGCAAGTTGAGCACTGACAGCATTAGTCCCTCTGTCGTGTCCAACTCTTGGAGACCCCATGGACTGTAGCCTGCCAGGCTCCTCTGTCCGTGGGATTCTCCAGGAAAGAAGAGTGGAGTGGGTAGCCATTCCCTTCTCCAGGGGATCTTCCTGACCCAGGGAAGATCTACCCACTGCTGGGAAGAAATGTGACCGTGGGTACTTGCTCTCTGAGCCTGTTTCCACATCCGTGAGATGGATTGTGTGAGGATTAGATGGGGTAAATGCCGTGGGAAGAGAGGTGGCGGGTTTCAGAATCATGTGACTTGGTGGCACCAGGGTGGGGCGTGCTTGAAGCAGGTGGGAGCTCTGTACCGTCGGGGGGAGGAGCTCTCTGTCCCGTCTCGGGGGAGGAGCTCTCCGTCCCGTCTCGGGGGAGGGGCTCCGTCCCGTCGGGGGGAGGAGCTCCCTGTCCCGTCGGGGGGAGGAGCTCCCTGTCCCGTCGGGGGGAGGAGCTCTCTGTCCCGTCGCGGGGGAGGGGCTCCGTCCCGTCGGGGGGAGGAGCTCCCTGTCCCGTCGGGGGGAGGAGCTCTCCGTCCCGTCGGGGGGAGGAGCTCCCTGTCTCATCGCGGGGAGGAGCTCTCCGTCCCGTCGCGGGGGAGGAGCTCTCCGTCCCGTCACGGGGAGGAGCTCTCTGTCCCGTCTCGGGGGAGGAGCTCCGTCCCGTCGGGGGGAGGAGCTCCCTGTCCCGTCGGGGGGAGGAGCTCCCTGTCCCGTCGCGGGGGAGGAGCTCCCTGTCCCGTCGGGGGGAGGAGCTCTCTGTCCCGTCGCGGGGGAGGAGCTCCGTGTCCCGTCGGGGGGAGGAGCTCTGTCCCGTCGCGGGGGAGGAGCTCCCTGTCCCGTCGGGGGGAGGAGCACTCTGTCCCGTCGCGGGGGAGGAGCTCTCCGTCCCGTCGGGGGGAGGAGCTCCCTGTCTCATCGCGGGGAGGAGCTCTCCGTCCCGTCGCGGGGGAGGAGCTCTCCGTCCCGTCACGGGGAGGAGCTCTCCATCCCGTCTCGGGGGAGGGGCTCCGTCCCGTCGGGGGGAGGAGCTCCCTGTCCCGTCGGGGGGAGGAGCTCTCCGTCCCGTCGCGGGGGAGGAGCTCCCTGTCCCGTCGGGGGGAGGAGCTCTCCGTCCCGTCGCGGGGGAGGAGCTCCCTGTCCCGTCGGGGGGAGGAGCTCTCCGTCCCGTCGGGGGGAGGAGCTCTCTGTCCCGTCGCGGGGGAGGAGCTCCCTGTCCCGTCGGGGGGAGGAGCTCTCTGTCCCGTCGCGGGGGAGGAGCTCCCTGTCCCGTCGGGGGGAGGAGCTCTCCGTCCCGTCACGGGGAGGAGCTCCCTGTCCCGTCGGGGGGAGGAGCTCTCCGTCCCGTCGCGGGGAGGAGCTCCCTGTCCCGTCGCGGGGGAGGAGCTCCCTGTCCCGTCGGGGGGAGGAGCTCCCTGTCCCGTCGCGGGGAGGAGCTCTCTGTCCCGTCTCGGGGGAGGAGCTCCCTGTCCCGTCGGGGGGAGGAGCTCTCTGTCCCGTCGGGGGGAGGAGCTCCCTGTCCCGTCGCGGGGGAGGAGCTCTCTGTCCCGTCGGGGGGAGGAGCTCTCTGTCCCGTCGCGGTGGGTGTCTTGCTGTCACCACCATTAGTGGCAGCACAGTTGTAAACATCATCCACGCAGCATCTTAGTTATCTATCGTCACAGGCCCGTGAAGGAGATAATGGCCATTGTCCAGGTTTCCCAGCAGAGGTCAAGGAGGCAGAGGTCCAGTAACTCACCCAAGGTCAGGCAGCTAATAGGACGTGGAGGTGAAGGCTTGAGCCCAGTTAGCCTGCTCCAGAATCCACGCCCTTTAAGTAGAACGCTCTCCAAACACGTGTTGGGAAAGTGCCCGGCCTTCTCTGATCGTGAGATGTCCGTGGAGTCTGCGGGCAGCTGAAAGCAGCTCTTGGTCTTTTTTCTCTCTGGGGCTTCTCCAGAGTGACTGTGGCCTTCTCCCGAGGGACTGTCAGCGTGGCTTGTGAGCCTGTGGTGACCAGCGTGCTGCCACAGAGGGGCGGGCCGAGGGCCGGGTGGCAGGTCAGAATGGGCACGTGTGCTCTTAGTGGGGCATTTCCCCGCTCAGCACCACTGGCTGGGGACTAACGACCGCTAGGTACATGGCTCAGAAACAGCGGCCTCCGACGTGGCTCAGAGAGATAAGCCGACAAGCTGAGCCCTGAGTGGACAATCTGAGAACCTCCTGCTGGGCCTCCCTGGTGTTTCCCGCTGTAGAGAGATTTAGAGCCAGGCCTATGCCAGCTCTGATTTGAGTCTGTGCTTGCCTGGGGAGTTTGTTATCACTGTCTCTGAACACATGCCATGTAGCTGTGTTGGAGGAGAGTGGCTCAGGCTGGCCCTGTGGTTTGGGACCAGGACACGGGGAATGAAGGGAAGCTCCGTGCACTGTGGCTGAAGACGTGTGTAGCTGGCCTGGGTGTGGGTGGGGGACCTTGACACCTCAGCACTTTGTCACAGAAACGCCACTTTCCCCTCTGGGGTGTGCTGTGTGCAGTGTTTACACCTGTGGGCACATCCAGTCAATCAGTCTTCATGGCTGGCTTTACAAGAGATAAAAGTGTGCTGTAATTACTTGATACCCTGAAAATGAAGTTCCCAAGAACTTGTATTTATTCCAAGAAAGATTTACATTTATTCATGTATTCCACGAGTAATCCCGAGTTTCAGCAAGAAGCATGGCAGGAAGAAGGGGTGGGATTAAGCATGTCTTGGCATGCTTGGGCTCATGTGGTTACAATTCCCTCCCAGGACCTTATTAAACCACAGACCTCCTGTAGCCCCAAATTCAGATTCGAAATTTCAACCTACAACATGACGGGCATGAAAAAATCATCCGCATTCTGCCAGTCCCCCTGCATCACAGCCTCCACTCCTGAAGACACTTATGGTGCAGCCCTGGACCTGTGTGAAATGCCATTGAGATTCCTCCTTATGAGCCTTTGAGAAACCACAGTTACTAACGTAGACAGACATGATGACCCAGCAGCACCCCCAGCATGGACTGTGTGGAACTGAAGGAGATGAGAATACAGAAGCCAGCTGGGTGCCAAGCAGTAAGGCAGTTGGAGCTTGGCCATCGAGGTCATACTGGTCTGTTGCTAGAAAAGCCAGAATGTTCTGATGGCGTGAGTTACAGAAACTGAGACAGGACTTGGGGGAGAGCTGGGATGGGAGACCCTCCTGGCTCCTGGCCAGATAGCACGGAAGCCTGAATGGTGCCAACTGGAACGTCTGATTTTCTGCATCTGTGCCTGGGTGTCATCAGGCCCTCCTCCTCTCTCAGATGAGTGGCTCATCACTGTCCCTTTCTTTATGCTAAGACCTCTGTTCATCTCCCATGTGATGTCTAAGATGTTGAACTCAGATATGTGTGGGCACCAGGGCGTGAACTCATACCATCAGAGTCTGAGCATGCATGCCCCGGGCTGTTTTATTAGCAGCGGCTTTGGATTACCACTAATTGAGTAGGGGCAGCTTGATGAAGACTGAAATGCTAAAAGCTCCTTTCTGCATGTACTGATGGATATACAACCTTGAACCCAAATCATAAAGTGGGAATTGGGAGTAAGATGGATGCATGCGGTGAGTGTAGACCGTGTCCTGGCTCAGCTCTGGGTGGTTTCTCAATTTACTGTCTTTTGCTTTGATCACAAAAGGAAAAATGTCCCCCCCCCACCCCAACTTCATCCCACCCTGTAACACTGCCTTAGCCCAGCCTACAGCTTCCTCCATCCTGGTCTTGCAGGAGGATGCTGCTGATAGACTTTTGCATGACTTGACTCTCCAGCTGAAGGTTCTTGCTTCTCCCCTAGCTCCGGGTGTCTAGGATGAACCAACTGTGATAGCTGCCCCCTCTCTTTCCACCCCGGAACCCGTCTTTTCTGTAGATCCTTCACAGATTGCTGACTCCTCCCCTGTTCTGTTTTTTCCTCTCTTACCGTAGCTACCCTAGACCAATAGGGCCGTCCTCTTCTTCATTTCAGCACATTCAGCGCCACACAAACTTCTGTTTGTGACTCTACTTCTTTTTGAAAGTTGCTGAATACATGTTTTTATTTGAATTCATACAACTCTAGGAGTTTCCAGGTGTTCACTGTCACCTTTTGAGGATTTTTTTTAACCACAAAATGGCAGTGTCATGGACTTCACTGGCATCCATGGGAGATTAAGCTTAGAGATGTTTGTTGCTACAACCTGCCCAACCATCAGCTAGGCTCCTGGAGATAGAGAGGTGAGCAAGAAACAGTTCCTGCTCCCATAAGCTTACAGGCTGGCTGGCCAATAGGTAAAGGAAGAGAACAATTAGTAATTTAGGGTGGTGTGAAATTATAGAGGGCCCAGGGAACTCATTGAGGAATTCAGAGGCCAGAAGTCCCATGAGTATGAGTTTCATGGGAGGAAGGAACTTGTTTCATGGGAAAGTAAGAGCTGCTGAAGGTGTAAGTCAGGGAAACAAAGATTCTTATTAGAATCTATCAACAAGTAATTATTGAGCATTATTTGCACATCATAGGAAGGACAAGTGCCTACTTTCATGACCTTTTGTTCTTGGATCTAGCTATGACCAGGTGTACACATGCATGATGGCCCAGTGCAGAGACGGACCACAGGAACAGGAGGAAGAACATGTAGTTCAATTCACTGAACACGAACTGAGCACCTGTCATGTGTCATGGGCTTAGCTTGGAGCTGGGGATGCAAACGTGAATTAGGCAGTCCTTGTGAATTGGGAGGAAGCTCCTAACTTACTTTTAGGTTGGTTAAATACAGTATCCTGGACACAGTACATACACAAAGAATTTTTAGGTGTAGAAGGAGCACTAAGGAAGAGGGTGTTCACTTTGCTGGGGGCGGGGATGCTGCCAAGGCTTTGTGGTCATAAAGATGTGCAGCGGCTGTGTGCATTAGGCAGTGGTTCAGTGAGAAAGGTGGATACATTCCGAAGGTGAAGGAGGTGGTGGGAGGAGGAGCCTGAGGGACATGGTGAGAACTGTTCTAGAAATCATCCTGAAGACATGGGCAAGGGAGGGGTGAGGCTGGAAGCAGTTAGACGGCTGAAATCCCAGGTGAAAAGCCAGTGAGGACCTATGCCTGTGACCGTGGCCAGAGACCAAAGGACAGGGATCTGACAGACACAGGTGATGGGTGTGGAGGTGTTAGGGGTGAGCAGAAGTTGAGTATGAGTTTCATGGGAGGAAAGAAACTCATGGGGAAAGGGTCCAGGTCCAATTTGGGCCATGTGGAGTTTGAGGAGCGTGGAGGACATTCAGGAAGAAACAGCCAGCTGCAGTCGGAGCTAAGGAGAGAGTCTGAGGTGGTTACAGGATGGTTAAAAACCATGGAAATAGATGAGATCCTTTGTGGAGCAGCTCTAGCTCAGGGGACCACGGGCTGAGGGGTCATGGAGGTTTTGGAATGAGTGCTGAAGAACTAGTAGGTTGGAATTGTGTGGTAGTCAGGACCCATGGGGGCAGAGTAGGGGCAGGGATTCACATTCTAGGTTGCTATGGGCCTACCTACAATTTTGGCCAAGGGAACTTTTTTTTTTTTGGCTGCATGGCATGCAGGATCTTAGTTCCCTGACCAGGGTTTGAACTTCACCCCCTTTAGTGGAAGTGCAGAGTCATAACCAATGGGCCACCAGGGAAGTCCTAGCTTGAACTCTTCTCTTCCCTAAAACTGTGAGCGCCGTCTTAAGGTGATCGATTCAGTGGCGGTGCTCAGAATAGATTGGAAGGGAGAGACCAGAGACAGCTGGACTGGTTTAGGTGGCAGTTGCCGAATGCCATCTCAGTTGATGGGGGCTTGGATGCTGCAAGACTGGAAATGCGGGGATAAACAGGGGAGTCAGTCCAAGGAAGGATCTCCAGGCCGTGCCGAGGAGACGGGGGAAGGCGTCTTGCATCTCAGTGTCTGGGATGCTGGGCTGCAGACTGGCTGTGAGTACAGGAGCAGTGTCTGTTTCTCTGGCACCTGATATATACTGTATGCTGTGTCAGTATTTGCTGAGTGGGTAGATATATGGTGGTACTGTCAACAGAAATGGAGTCATAAACACTGGATCTGGCAAGGTGGTGAGTTCGTGCCATCTGGCTGAGGGGAAAACAGAAGTCTCTTTTCAGGGGGCAGAATTTTGGTGGTCAGAGGGCACTCAGAAGGGGCATGTCTGGACAGCATTAGCTCACTCAGTTTAGCTCAGATGTGTGGGCTTTCTAGAAGACTCCATATTCAGTGAAGAACTGACATGAGGTACTGACAGGAGGGTGTTTCCCCTTGAAAATGAACACCCATGGCCCTTGGGTCCAGAAGCATCTCCTTTCCTGCAGGTGACAGGGTCAGGAAGTTCCTGTCTGCCACTCAGAAGACCCCATTTACTAAGACATTCTTTAGTGAAGGAAGAGGAAGCATGCATTTTGCTGGTTGCTTCTTTAGCCTCTGTCTAGGGCACAAGGAGCTTGTGGAGAGAGGCTCTGAAAGCTCACACGGTACCAGAGAGAACTCAGCCAGGCTTTATAGAAATTTTCCCTAAAAGAGTAACCAACTAGATTTTCCCCTACGGCCATAGAATCTTCAGCCAGAACAGGGATGGGAGGGAGAGGAGCGAATGAAGTCATTTTACGGTATTTATTTGCATATATTATAGAAGACATTTCAAATATATTAAATAGGAGAAACAGAAGGCTACTATATTCTGAGTACATCCTGTATCCCTTAGAAACAAATGTGCAAACATCTCCGATCCAGACATGGGTATGACATTTAGACTACAAAAATATATTCTATACCTCATATTGCTCAGAAGGTTAAAAAGGAGTGGATGTATATTTATGGCTGTGGGTGAGAGAGAAAGCTGTTTTGTAGTTTAAAGGATTCACTCTCTTTAGAGCTGTGACTTTCATTGGTAGGTAAGCTAGGAGGCCCTCAACACGCTGGTTAAAATGTTCATGTGGCATACTGTGCTTAGAACCTGGCTTGAGCGACATGCAGATATTAGTCCTCAGGTCAGAGGGCTACAGACCTGAGACTAACACAACTGAGAGGAACCCCAAGGTACTGGCTGCCTGGGTTGGTCTGTCTGTTTCAGTTCTTTACACAGTTGAGGATTTCTCCCATGGCTGGGTTTTAATACAGTTAGTCCAATACACTTAACTACTGACAGCAGTCTTGAACATTTACTGAGCATTTCTAATCTGCCAGCTTTACACAGATCATTTACTCTTCCTGATGATCCTGTAATGTAAAACATGTTGGCATTTTTCTCCCTGTTTTACAGATTAGGAAAACAAGGCAGAGAGGGGTTGTTACCTAACTCATAAGTAGTTGTTCTGAGGTTGGAACCCTAGTAGAGCCCATGCAGAACTGCTACATCTGAACCGTTAGGCCAGATGGCCTGGCCTGTTTATGAAACTGCCTTGGATTAGAACAAACGGGAAATTTACCCAAAACATGTAATTCAATATGTAGGAAATGCTGTGGAACCAAAGACTCACATAATTTGAGTTTTTTCAGCAGCTCCATTCTAAGAACCTTTGGATGTTTATCTCCTTTCTGCAGAACAGAGCAGACCTTTCTTTCTGTTTAGGTTTAAGCCAAATGTTCTGGATAATTAACAAAGCTGCTGAGGCCAGGGCGGGGGGAACACTTTCGCATGCAGCATGATGCAGTCTGAAATGCTGGCACCCTCGCCGCCCTTCTTACACAGAGCACCTTATTGACATAACGAACTACAGAGGGGCTCCTCCTAGTCCCCAAGATGCACAGCCACCCTGGACAAGGAGCTCGTCTCTGCTGAGAATAAAAGCCAGGCAGGCTTACCGGTAGGGGTGGGTTGTTCCTTCTGCACACTAGCTGGCTTGAAGACCAGGACTCCTGCTGCGAGTATGCAAGCAAATGCCATCCTTGGCACTCTCCCAGGAAACTGAGCGTTTTGGCTTTACATCCTATCTGACAAGAATGGATTTTGTTTCCCTCTGAGCCATTCCTGGGGAGATGAATTCTCATCAGCCCCATATCCAGAGTGAAATCTGGTAAACTCAGTTCAGAGCTTTTCATGAAGCTACTACAGGGTATTTTAGCAGCAGATCCTCAAGTATTTAGAGTTGTTGATAGGGAAAGTGAAGCTTGGGAGGCCCTCTAAAAATGTGTGTGTGTAGCCCAAGTAATGGATGTCCACTGTAAAAAAATTAATACAGAGAATAAATAAAGCCTTCTCATGGGATCCATTTGCTTGTATATTGTTGTGTTCATGTGTGCTCAGTCATGTTTTGACTCTCTGTGATCCCATGGACTGTAGCCTGCCAGGCTCCTCTGTCTATGGAATTCTGCAGGCAAGAAAACTGGAGTGGGTTGCCATTTCCTCCTCCAGGGGATCTTCCTGACCCAGGGATCAAATCTGCATCTCCTGTGTCTCCTACATTGGCAGGTGGAGTATTTACTGCTGTTGCCACCAATCTTGTTTAATGTGTGAGGGGGAGCAAATTGAAGAAAGAAGCTGGACAAAGGTTGTTACAAACTTGAGTTTTCCAGTAGAATGGTTAAGGAAGGTAACTTTTCCGGTCTTTATAATATAAATTGCTCATACAGTTAGCACTGAAGGAAATTGAACTGCACAGCCCCGCGGAAATAACATCAGATTTTCCTAAGACAATGAGGCTGGTTTGTGGCTGGTGCCCCTGGCCACACTGCTGACCACCGCGGGAACTGGTGATACAGGCATCAATCCTTCGTGTGCTTTTTTCCCCAGACACCGAATGGACTGCTTCTGACCCCAAGTCCACTGCTGTCCAGCATACATTTCTGGAGCAGCCTTAGTCCAGTTGCTCCACTGAGTCCTGCCCGGCTCCAAGGGCCAAGCACGCTGTTTCAGGTGAGCATTTAGAAATGAACTTGTACATGTGCAATTTCTAAGGGATATGTTTCCTTGATAAATCCTGCAAGGTAACATTTTCTCTAAATGTAGGGCAGAACTCACTGTGTAAGTTTCCAAAAGGAATTCGTGTTAACGTGGCTGCAAAAGGCACCTTCAGAGGCAGGTATTTTCATTGAGGTGGCGTGCGCATGTCAGCTATCCATAAATGGAACAATAAATTCTCCGATTGCTCCATTTATTTTCACTAACTATGAAAACTGGAAATTTATAAGGAAAAAATTTTTAATTGTATTTTATAAAATCTCGTAAGACTTTAACATACTAACCTATTAGTACAGTAACCACACAAAATGAAGATAAAAATAGTTAACTCTACATTGTAATAATAGCAAAGTTACCTGCATAATTCTGTGAATCAGAATCAAGTTTTCCTTGTTCCATAATAGAAAAAAGAAGCATCCAGGGGTCTGATTAAAAATGAGTTAAGTTTCAGCTGTTCATCTTGTAAAACTCCCTGTACTAGGTTAAATGCATTCATTAGTCATCTCCATACTAGAAACCTGCAGTAGCATCACTTGCTATCATGTGGAAACTGGTATTCTCGGAGTCCCAAAGATTATGACTCACCGAACAAGATGTTACTGTGAACATGTGAACATGTGAGTGTAGAAGGGATCCCAGGGACAGGAATGAGGCAAAACTGGATACTGTGCACACACCTTCTGTTCCTGATTCTGACCTTGTCTGTCTCGTTCACCTTGCCTCTCACCTCTGCCCCTCAGTCTGGCTGACCTCAAGCTGGTGTTCTTTGGTTCTCATTGCATCTAGCACTAACCACTTTGTACTCCCTGTCATCTGACAATCTCCCCACTAAACAGTGGGCCCTCAAGAAGCCAGAACTGCATCTTGTTTGCTGTGGTGTGTGCCTGGCATCTAGCATGCTGCTTGGTACACAAGATGTTCAGCAGTTACCACTGACTGACTAAAGGAAGGGATGCCTCAGAATTCACTGAGAGAAGAGGTGTCTAAGAAAGTTAAGTGTCAATAAGATCACATCTGCAGTGCTTTTCTTTACTGTTCATTTTGTTTGTCAAAGTTAATATTCACTTCTGTGCCAGGGGCATACATGCTGGTATTTAGGGTCTCTCTGGGAGAAGGGTAGAACTAGAGAGGTTCTGTTACTATCTTGCTTCTCTGGTTTCCTAGTAGGGATGAGGTAGGATGTCATGATGTGACTATACTTGAGCTATCAGGTTTCTCTTCCAGGCCTTCCCTCTTGTTACAAGAAACTGAGATATGGTCATGTGCAGCCAATGTGTTGATTCTTAGCCGTTTTAAATCGGGCAAAGAAACAAAAACTAGCAATAGCAAAAGGCAGTGAGCAAATGCAGAATTACACAAGTTTTAGATTGGTGATCTTTTGGTGCGGAAACTAAAAGACCTTATTTCCGGGAAGTCGCCAGATGGGAGCAGCAGAGAGTTCCTGAGTAGAGTAGACAGGATCGTGTGGTGCTCCACAGCGGGCAGTGGGGCCTGTAATCCTACCCTAATCCTGGAATGCAACACAAGGCCTCTCTAGGTTTCCTGAGATATATGTGAATAATGAATGGACTCTCAGTTCCCTCCTTGCTGAAAATCTTACCGCCTGACTGTGCAGGGCTTGGTGACTTCCCAAGGAAGCCCTCCAGAACTACTGGTCCAGAATTCTTGGAGATTTCTAGCCCACTACTCCCAACAGTTAACAGTAGTTCATCTCCCCTCTGATTCTACACATTAAAAGGTATCAGGAGCTCTGGGAATTGGCCAAGATGCGTATCCCTTCAGTCACTACTGTAGACTGTAGTTCTGTACTGTAGACCAGTGGTTCTCAAGTTAACACAGGGCAGACTCAGCCAGAGGGTATGTTAAAATGCACCTGGCTGGGTCCCTCCCTCCCCCAGAGTCTCCGAATCAGAAGGTCTGCGATGGGGCCTGATAATAACATTCTTTAATACATTCCTAGAGATGCTGCTGCTCCAGAAAGCCCACTCAGAACCACTGCTGACCAGTGGCTCCTGATTTACATTTAGAATTCTGCAGAAGAAAACCTGCTCAGAACTGTGATTTCACAAACTGGGCCTGTCCTCTCTCCTGGAGCCATTCAGAACACAACCCTGAATAGGGAAATGTAACCAGGTGCGGATGGCTGACAAGTCATATGGCCGTGGACCCTCTTTTTGGGGCTGGGGTCTGTGAGACTAAAGAAAAATAACTTTGTACCTTTTAGAGTATTACTTCTCTTCCTATGTATATGATAAGAGGACTGACCTGGTGAAAGCCGAAATTTGCAGTTTTGAGAATGGTTAAAATAACATGGTAAGAAGAATCTTTTTTTTTTTAATTAGACATTTCAAATGATCGAGTCTCAAATTTAGGTTACTATCAACAGTACTGCTTTTTAAACTAATGAAAGTAACTTTAAAAATAACAAGCCTCTTTCACATATGCTATGTGATGTGTTGGAGAAGGGGAAAAAAATAGACTTGGCCTATAGTGATGCTGGCAAATTTCCTGTTATGATTAGAAAAGTAGATCAGAGTCCTTATGGTAACAGTTGACAAGGCTGAGGAGGAGTTCCGGCACTGAGGGTCTCTGGCTATTATTAGTAAGTGATAGCAGATACTGAGAATTTCAAGGGAAGGAGAGTGGAGATACGAGCCTTTCTAGAAGAGGTATGCTTTGTAATTGAGACACATAAAGAGAGAGATGCCAGAGACACTGTACTAAATCTGAACATACACCTTGGTTTATAAAGTGAGATGGGTTCCCAATTGGACTGTTTCGCATTTTAAGCTTGTCTTTAGGATGTCTGTTCCACTTTTGAAACAGATTTTGATCAAATTTGGAATATACCTAGTAGGTACAGATACAAGGTAATTTTCAACTGAGAAAGTTTTCCGTAATTTTTAACTCAACAAATCTAACCCAGAAAATACTTGTAAAGCTCTGAGGCAGGGACTGTGGGGATATACAGGACGTGAATACCTGGTAAGTAAACACAGTGCTCCAGGAACCCAGCAGGAGTTGCTCTTTCCAGCTGGGGCCTGGACAGAGACCCCAAGGCAGAAGAGACGTCTGAGCTGGGGAGACAGGACAGGATCACGGCAGAGTGAAGTACACTCTAAGTGAACAGATGTGCATCATTTGGATATGAAAATACATAGTCTGTTCTGGAAGGGACCTGGGTGATAGACTGGTTGGAAAAGCAGCAGTGGGGCTTGGATAGTATACTGTTGTTAAGTGAAAACCATGGGAGGCCTTTTAAAGCTGGAGATAACTAAGAGCTCTAGTTTAGAAAGGTATCCCTGGTATCATAGTGTGGAGAGAGGATAGAAGGCAGGAGGAGTAAGGGGCAGGAACCCATGAGATTTCCACTACTCCCAATTCTGAGGGGAGAACCACCTTTTACATAAGAAGAGTGAAAAAGACATTCCAGAGGTAAAATTGAGAGGATGACTTTTAGATAGGTATAAGGAGTAATTAGTGAAAAATCAGGAAGAGGCAAGGATTACTAAGTGATTAAAAGACTGGGAATGCTATTGATAACAACAGCTACAATTTTTTGAGGGCTACCGTATGTCAGACATTGTTCTAAAGCACTTTTCATGGCTCCTTATTTAATAGTCTCAATAGCTCTATATGAAAAGATGACCAATTTTATAAGAAAGAGAAAAAAGAAACAAAGGCCCAGAGATGTTGCTCAATTTGCCCAACATCCCACGTTACCAAGTGGTGCAGCCCTGATTCTTGTTTAAACGTGTCCTGCTCCTGACCATCCTTACTGACTTTAGAGTGAGTGGGGAAGAGGTGCCGGGGTTATCTAACTGACGCCAAGAAACGTTTGTTGAGTATGGTACAGGACAACGGAGGGCTGAGGACAAAAGTTGGGGAATGCTGTAATTTAAGGAAAGGGACTGTGTGTGGATGATGGGAGGGGAGGGGGGCAATAAAGAGGAATATAAAACATGTCAGGTCAGGCTAACCAAGAAGAACTATGACACTTGAGTATATAGAAATAAAGAGGACAGAAGTCAATAACGAAACCAAAAGGTGATTCTTTTGAAAACACTAGTAAGATGAACAACTAAAATGAGAGAAGATGTAAATAAACTACAAGTATGAGAATTCAGAGTCTGCTCTTCTTCCAGTGTCTGCTGTTAATCAGTGGGAATAGTGGTTAGGAGCACACCTTAAACAAAAAGTAAAGTATAAGCTAAATGTAAATAGATTTGATAACCCCAGATGAAATGGATAAAATTCTATATAACATTAAAATTCAAAGTGTCAGGAAAGAAAACCTTGATTATAACCATTACAGAAACAGTAAGTAACAGCACCACCCGCTTGCCACTGACATTAAAATGAGTTGGGCAGTTGGATACAGAAAGCACAGTCTCTAGACTAAGTAAGAATTAAATTAGAAGACAGCCCAAGAGGTCACTGTGACTCATCTTGTCCTCAACAAGGAAAATTTAGTTTTCAGCAATCATGTTTTAGAAGGAAGTCTTTAAGTATTTTGTGTTCAGTTGGGAGTACAGCTGCTATACTTTAGACATGAAAGACATCAAAGCATGTACTTTTGTCCCATCTTAGTTACCAACAAGACAAATTAACTATAAATTTTGGCACTTATGGGTTATCTATTTGGTTTGCTATTATTTTTAACTAGAATATTTTTAAAGATACTGTTTTCTAAATCTCTGAAGATAAAAATATTCCTCATTTGTAACAGTTACTGAGAAACATCAGTAGTACTCTGGAAAACTGATAGTTTCAAAATACAATATGAGAAATTACTGATTCATATACAAAGAGTTTCCTGGTTTCCAAAATTGATTTTCCTTAATATGAAAAGCAAATGATCATTCTGAATAGAATGGAATCTTCTAGAAACACTATTAGAACATGCTTTAGCAACATATAAAGTATGTATTTTTTTCTAGTAGTCTCTGCACATAAAATAATTCGGGATATTTTCTAAGCCTTGGCCTCTGCTATACGTAGTCTTGATTTGATTGTCATCTTCCAATTACTCATTCTGTAAAGTAATTGGCAACATGGACTTTCCTAGTGGTCCAGGCATTAAGAATCCGCCTGCCAGTGTGTGGCACATGGGTTCAGTTCCTGGTCCGGGAAGATTCCACACGCCTTAGGGCAAACAAGCTCGTGCACCTACATGCTTAAAGCCTGAGCTCCGCAGCAGGAGAAGCCACTGCAGTGAGAAGCTCACACACTGCAGCGAAGAGCCAGGGCAGCCAAAAACAAATAAATAAAATCATTTTAAAAATTGGCAACTGACCTCTATCAATCACAGAGGTGATGAGAGAACTGGTCCACTGTGGTCTGTCTAGGAATGTTTAAAAACTCCGGTCTTCCCAATGGATTTGCAATAATTCTTGTAAACATCTTTTGCCCCTACAGTTCCCAACACTGCTTAATGGCCACATGCCAGTGCCAATCCCCAGTCTGGACAGAGCTGCTTCTCCAGTACTGCTTTCTTCGAACTCTCAGAAATCCTGATGACATCTGGCCACAATTTAAAGACTCATTAACTGATGAAACAAATTTGTCCCCATGGGCTAGTTTACCTGTGTCGTGAGAAGGATGTTGTGAAACCCGTCTGTTAATTTGGTTTGCACTTTTCATAACATGGATGGTCTAGATTTATGTTAGCATTTTAAAAACTTTTTTATATTCAAGTATATATGAAAATCTGTTTTGCATTAAGTGAATTTTAATGTTTTTGTTTTTATATCTTCTTAGCTCTTAAGTGTTGAACACTGTTGACAGTGAAGAACTTTTCTAAATGGTTTTCAATGTAATAAGGATGTGAAGCTTTCTTCCTCTTTAATTCTGCGAATGCTGAACTGTGCTTATATACACTATAACCAGCTGTGCCTTCTTTTGCATTTAGTTTATTGTAAATTATCTATATATATATATATTTTTAGTATTAAGAGAAAATGTTTGAAAGACAAAAATTAGTATCAAACAACTCTCTAGTAGAATTTCATTATTTTTCACAAGTAGGCAATATGAAAGCATTCATTACTTTTCTTTTTGGCTTTCAACTGTATGAGAACTGCCTTAGAAGCTCTTTTGAACTGAAATTCAGTGAATATAATGTCCAAGTAATGTTTTTATAAAAAACAACTAAGCCATATTTAGATAATAAACTTTCATAAAAGAATGTTCTAAAGTGCATTTTTTGAAAAATGAAAGGCTAGCCTCCTGTTTACATTTCTTTGAGACTCCTTCCACACAAAAGCCTGAGATGGAAAAACTACATAAAGTTCACTCTACCTATGCCCCTGGAATATTTCCTAGGTTAGCACATTCTTATTTTAAAAAATTAACCTGGTTCTTTCCATTTTCCATTGAGAATCATACCTCTCTGAGGCATTTACTGTATGTAAGTTAGGGTTTCTCTGAATCCCAGAAATTATAATTAACATTTAAAAATCCTATGCTTTGGAAAAGGTTCACAGACTGATGATGAATACATATAACAAAGAAAACATTTTGTAATACCAGCTATCTTCATGTGTATGGGTAAAGCCTTGGTTGTGGAAACTGAGGTGTAGGATACACTGCTTTATGTATTACTGTTCATGGTGAGAATGAAGGAAAATTGATAAAAAAAAATACATAAATTCTTCAGGAACCTTATCATTGTGAAACTGAACTTATTATGTAACAATCTGCAGTACTAAGCAGTGAATCCTTTTGTGTAGTGTAGTTTAGAACAGTGATAATAGAAACATTTTTTGTTCCTTCAAAAGAATCGGCAGGCACCGGTCTAAGGTGCCAATCTGTGTATGGAGTAGGAAAGTTCTAATGTAAGATACAAGAACTGAAAGGCGCCTGTGCATGCAACTCCATGAGCTAGTTACCATCCTCAACTGTAACAGAAACCAATTTGAAATGTGGCTAAATAATTCACTGATCCAAATGAGGCGTTAAATGGCAGGGATTATGAGAAAGGGCAAAAAACAAACAAACATTTGAGTTTTCAAGCATTCTAAAATTATGTTGCGACACTTAACGCTTGAGATGTTCAACTGGAATTGAGCTTGAGATTTTCAGGAATTTTATTTGGTGATGTAAGCCTTTATCTGGGGGAAAAATCCAAACACTCTAATATGCATCCTTGAATATAAAGTAATGGACCTGGTTCCACAATCTGCAAGCAGACACTATTGTCACTACCCACAGGCTAAGGATAATATGTGCCAAAATAAAAGCTAGTCCAGGGGACTGGTGTTCACCAAACATAAAATGTTAGAAGAGGCCTTTGAGATACATCCAACCGCCATTTCCAGGTAAGGACAACTGCACAGAAGCGGGAATGCCTAAAGCTACATAGGCAGAACAATGATTGGTGTTCAGTCCAGTTCTACTTCCCCATGCCCAAAACTGCTCGCCCAAAACTGCTCGCCCAAAACCACATGTTAGGTAGAAAAAAACAAAAGAGCATTAAAAACAAACAAAAAACTTGTCAGATAAGAGCATACCTCAAATGCAAGATTCTTACAGAGAAACTAAGTCAGTCAATGTGCAAAAACCTCAACCTAGTATTCCCTTCCTCCAAATACTATGATTAACATACACTCTAGTTCCATTTATTAGAAATGGAAAAAATACAGTAATTTTTGATGCACCAAAAAACTCACATAACACAAATAGAGAACTGGAGGTGTTAAAGTATAATCCTTATTGCTCTGCCTCATTCTGTGTGTGTGTGTGTTGGGTTTGTCTTTTTTTTTTTTTAAACAATTATTTTAGTCAAAAAATAGGTTTCGAAGAACATAATAACTTTGTTTTCCCTTTTTATATGTTTGCTTGATCAGTGTTAAAATGCTATGGTAAAGTTTATAGAACTATAACCTAACTGTTGGTCTCTTTGTACACATCTTTTCTATGACTGCAAATCTTCACTCAATTTCCATATATGTATCATTTTTACTGTTATATTATTTTTGTTCAATAAATACTTTGTGATAAAAGGTGTGAAGAGGCAAGTGGGTTGTATTACTTCCATTTACTTGGGATGATTCAAATGCCACTATTCTATGGGTATAAGTTGGAAAAAGAATTGTTATTTAGCTTAAATATTGCACATTGAAACACTACGTATATGTGAATCTTATTTAAACAGGTATTTTAAGGAAACAAATATACTTTATTGACACTGAGTTGGATAGAAGGGAATGGATTTGAAAACTGGTCCTCTGATCACTTAAATCTGAAGTTCTGTCATTCTGCATTGAGGTAGGGAGGTAATGAGGAGGGGAAAACTACATTACCATTTACTCTTTTAGCTGCAATTAACATCAAGAAATTAAAGCCATCCCACATTCATGGATTAGAACACTTAATATTGTTAAGATCACAGTACTACCCAAAGTGATCTATGGATTCAGTAAATTCATCACAATCCCAAAAATCTCATCCTAAAATTTATATGGAATTTCAAGGAACCTGGAATATACAAAACAATCTTGAAAAAGAAAAACAGAAGTGGAGGACTCACTTCTTGACTGCAAAACTTATAAAGCTACAATTAATTAAAACACTGTGGTACTGGTAGAAGGATAGTGATGTGGACTGAGAACAGAATTAAGAACCCCCAAATAAATGCTCATTTCTATGATCAATTGATTTTCAACAAGGGTGCCAAGGGGGAAAAGGACAGGTATTTCAACAAACAGGCCTAGGAAAACTAGATACTCACATGCAAAAGAATGAGGTCAAAACAGATCAAGGTCCTAAATGTAAGCCCTAACCTATAAAATTCTTAAAACAGGGGGAAATATTCATCATCTTGGATTTAGCTACTGCAACTTAAATATGCAACCAAGAGCAAAGGCAACACAAGAAAAAATAAACTGGACTTCATGAAAATAAAAAACTTTTATCAACAGGACACCATAAAGTAAGTAAGCACAACCCACAGAAGAAAATAATTACAAATCATATATGTCATAACATTCTAGACTATATAAAGAACTCCTACAACTCAACAAAAAAAAAAGGCATACAACCAAACTTTTTAAAGGAAAAGGACTTAAATATACATTTCTTTAAAGCAGATAATGGTAACACATGAAAAGGTGCGTAACACCCTGAAGTCCTTAGGGAAATCAAGACCACAATGAGACACCACTTCAAAGCTATTAGAATGAATATAATGGAAAAAAAGCAGCAAGGATGAGGAGAAATTGGAACTCATGCATAACTACTGAAAATGTAAAATGGTGTGGGTACTGTAGAAAAGAGTTTGGTGGTTTCTGAAAAAGTTAAGGATTAAATTACCAACTGACCCAACAATTCCACTCCTGGTATATGAACCCAAAGAATTTGAAAAGAAAGGCTCAAACAGATGCTTGTACACCAATGTTCATAGCAACATTATTCACAACAGCCAAAAATGGAAAAAAAAAAACCCATGCCTATCAACAGATGAATGGATAAGCAAATTATCCATATTTTGCTTGGATAAACAGATAAATGGATAAGCAAATGTTGTATAGTCACACAACAATGTTACTCAGCTATGAAAACAAATGAAGTTTGACACATGCTACAATGTGGATGAACCTTGAAAACATTATGTTAAGTGAAATAAGCCAGAGACAAAAAAACAAGTGTGGTATGATTCCACTTACATAAAATATGTAGTTTTTGTCTCTATGAATTTGCTTATTCTAGGTAAGAGGCTACCCAAAGGATGAGGCAAGGAGAAAACATGGTGGTGTGTGTGGGGGGCAGGGGGGTGGAGATTATAATGGCTACAAAGTTTCTGTTGTTTGGAGTGATAAAAAATCCTGGAAATAGATAGGTAACTGCTTTACAACACTGTGAACATAATAATTAATGCCACTAAACTGTATGCTTACAAAGTGCAAAAATGGTAAATTTTATGTTACATGTATTTTACCACAATTTTAAAAAAATAGTAAAAACACACACAAACCACATGAACTGTCTTGGGTCAAAAAGATTATAACATGTTAACAAGTAGGCTTTCGTAAGCTAATAAAGCTGCCACTTCTATATAGAGTATGACATATTCAACATGTTATCATCATCACTTGGAAGGAAAACAAAAAAGGCATCCCCTCTTACCTTTAAGAACCTTGTCAGTTTAAGACGAATCATCTGTTCAAGGTTCACAATTTGAGCTTCAGTTCTCTTCACTGGAAAGTTTTCAGAATCTGAATGATGCTCAAGTATCAAAAAAAGAAAATCAAATTCCTTAATAAAATGAAGGAACATCCATAGTTTTTCCTAGGAAGAGCAATTTTATATAACTATTGGATACAATTCTTCACCTTTTATATGCAAGAATGAAACAACAGGATAACTGTCAAATTTTCAACAAATCAAATATATAACCTATGAAATGAAAAATCTGACAATTAAAAGTGCTATCCTATAAAATTACAGTAAAGGTTAGTAAATGAATGGCCAGCACAATCATAAATTAATTGCTACTGGCACAGAGACACTTCATTATCTTGAGACACATAAAATAAAATGGTCCCATTCTGCACAACCTTCTTCCCCAAGAAAGAACCGTGACTCAACAAAACCACATTTTAACAACATGAAGATTTTGTTATTATAAATTTTGAAACAAAATGGAGGAATTTTCACATAATATTTGTAACCTTCAAAGTACAATATTAATACATGTCTGTCAGTTAGAAATAACAGCAGTTTGTTAGGCTACAGAGTTTAACATAAAACCAATTTACAAATGTGAAAAGCAGTAGTGGTCCAATATTCACCATTACACATGAATCTGTTTCTTCCAGAAATTTTTTTTTTAAAAATTAAAACTTCAGTATCATGAAATATTAAAATAACACCCCAAACATGCCACAATCACTATTCACAAATAAAGTTAAAATGAAATATACAAAAATTCACTTAATACTGTTAAATAACAATAAACTACAAGATTTCCTGAACAGAAATGGTAGGACCCCTGAATGTTTTACAGTGAATGTCAGGAAAATGAATTAAGTTATGACTCTTTTCATGATATATAAGCCCCAAATTTACATGATCATTTCAAAATATAGCAATTAAGATCTGCAGTTGGTAAGATGCACTAAACAAATAGTCCTTAAAAGTGAACACAAATGCTTAAAGCACTGTTACCAACACCAAGGTGTATTTATGATGCTCAAAAAGATGCATAATTAAAACTGTAATATTTACTATCTCTGGTAAACAGATAATACCTAGAATGCTTTAAAACAATCTTCCAAGTTCTCATTTCTCTCGTTTGTTATTTATCATGGCTCATTTCAAACACATATTACAGCTTTCAGCTGATTCCAAGTGAATGCTATTAAAACACACATGTACACACATCTCTCAAATGAAATACAATTGTTCCCCAATGAAGAATCATCCATTCTAATAAAAGAATTGTATTTAAGACAAATAAACAAAACAAGATCTCTCATGTTTGACTGGACTTGCATGGTTTGTTTTAACTAAATTAAAGCACAAGGTAACATAGGTTAAGTGTGTTAGTATACAAATATCCAATAATATGCAGTAAGTATTTCTAAAATGAGGAAAGGTAAAAATAAATAATTTTGGTACTTTAATTTACTGGTATGTAATTCGAGATCCCCAAAATGTCAGGTATTCACTTGCTTGAATCAACTTCTGCATCACATGCTTTCCTAAACATAATGTGCTTATCAATTTCTTAGCTACTCTATTTGCCAATGTTCAATAAAAAATTATATAGCATGAACGTAAGAGTGTTCAAGTTGGCTCACTTATTTTACTGTTAAGCAAAGCTAAATTTACATTCCAGGAAACAATGCAGTTTAATTTTAAAAACAAACAAAAAATGCAGCAGTAAAACAATTTGTGAGGAGAAACAGATGCATTCACATATAATAAAGCCACTGCAACTTCTTCAGGCATCAACTGTTGTGTTAAATAAACAGACAGTAGTTATTTAGCAGCAATGATTCCGCAATAAATAATGCACTGTGTTTCTCAGTCCTGCACAAAAACTGCAGCTATAGTTACATCAACAGCTGTAACCTACTGGCTCTAATGGCAGAGAAGACCTTAAAACCAACTGTACAAAAAAATTGTCACACTGTGACAACAAATATAAAAACAATTTGTAGGTCTGAAATAAAAAGACTCCACTGTGAAGAGGACAGTGTAGACAAACGAAGATTCCAAGTCCACCAAAAGAAATAATTGCCTTCAGATCTGAGTCCTTGATTGATAAGAAAGGCTGGGGGCTGGGCTTGAAACCATGTTATCAGACTTAAAAGAGCATGCTCTGTCTTCTGTTCTTCCCATGTCCTAAAATATAAAGTCATTTTATGAGGCAGTTCATGGTTCAGTTTTATCCCACATACAGTATTTGGTGACTCTATGAAGCTAATGTTCCCACCAGCAAAAGCTAATTCCATGGTAAGAGAGATCAGCTCTGTCTTAAAGGACCCTCTTGTTGATGGGGCCAGTCTACAGCTTCTATGCTTCGAAGTGATGAGCCTGATGACTAGGGGAGCACAGATGTGTCTTCTGCCTCAGGTGCCAGGGATGGCGTGTCAGTGATCAAGCCAGGTCACTTGTAAGAGGTCTCTGTGCCATCTGCAGCTTTCAGGATCCCTGATTGCACTGAGTCAGGTTCTCTCTGAAGAATTACTGAGCTGCCCACATCATACAGAAAAGTGAGTATGTGCAATGCTAAACATACACAGTTGTGGAATGCACTGTACATTGGTTTTTACATCAATAATTTTACTGATCAATTTATAAACCAAAATCTTGGTTCCACGCAAAATTTCATGATCGACATGTGAAATGGTTTATGACAAACACACCTGTCTCTGGATAAGAAGAATTTCGAAAACCGGGGTCCTTTTGCAACTGAATCTCTTTCAAACTGAATATTGATACACCTAAAATGCATAGATAAAAAATAGCAGATGAACGCCTATCATTAAAGCAAATATAATCCAACTAGAGACAAAATGTCTAAATTATATACTGAGTGAACGTGAAACATTTATACTAATTTACAAGGTTAAAGCCCCATTGAAATATTTTCTCTTTTGTTCCAAGGTTTGGAGAAGAAAACCAAGCCAAATAATCTCCCCTCAGAACCTTTCTCCTCCAATCTGGCTTTAACTCAGGCTGTGAGTGTGTGTTTCTCTGAGGAGAGTGAACACTGTTTTATTTCTAGGGCTTACTGAGGTTGGGAGACCTTATCAAAATGTATTACTTGGTTTTATTCTATCCTTTCTCCATCTGTCTTATGATGGCAGTGAAGGTCAAATCCATAAACTATCTTCAGAATTTTACAGAAAAACAAGAAATAGGTTTATACACCTTTCCTGCAACTCAAACTTTAAAACTTGATATTAGTAATAATAATGAAATGTAAATAGCATCCTAAAAAATACTTGTAATTCATCTTTCTCATTTCCATCTCTGCCACAGAGGTAGTCTTTCATTACAAAATATCCTTTAAGTTCTAAGTGAAAAGTCTTGAGGAGTCTTGGTTCCAATTAGAAAACCACTGTCTAGTAAATGAGAATGGGAAATTAATGAAAGCTTTTAGTAGCTCATTTCCAAAATATTCTCTTAATTCCCCACTCACCTTGCTCAGTTTTAAAGTAAAATATTGGGGTAATTTTTAAGAATGTTCTGAGTAAAATCAAGCAGTTACCTCAGGCATGAGAAATCAGCTATTTTAATGACAATATGCTCACCTCTGTCATGGGGAGAGTTAAGTCAGAGTGAACACAGTAAAGGAAAACCATCTTCACGTCTTAAAAAGGAAATTTACTTTCATGAGAAAACTAATGTTTTGGCTGTGTTTCATTACAACTTGCTTGAAATCCATTTTTAACAACTCTGAACCAAAGTAGTTCAGATTGGGCCTAATGACAATGTCTATCATTGGATGGCATCTTCCAGCTTAAGTCCAATAAGACTAATGACCCACATGTAAGTGCTACTGATTTCTTAAGAGTCGTAGCAACATGCTCAGTGTTAAAAGAAATAAATTAAAACAGGTAAATAAGACATACACCTCCCTTCAAGTATTTCTGATCTAATTATAAAAAGACCAGAATTTTAGGCTTAAAAACCAATAGTCCCTTCCTAGACTCCTAATTCACCCCCGTCTCAAACCTGGATAAAAATAAAAGGGGATGGGAGGACACACTAGAATTTCTCTTACTTTCAGGTAAAGCATGTATTCTTGGTCCCAGACTTCGAAAGTACACATGTTTCATGGCCTCTTCTGCTGAAACCCTTTTCTTAGATTCATACTGTGAAAAACCAAAAAAAACTGCCTCATTAATTTTTTTCTCTAAATACTGGAAAAAAGCATGTGTGAGGGGCAGGGGACACACATACAAATGCAGTTAAGCGTTTAGAGCTACCGTTATCTTGACTACTTAATACAATGATTTATTTTTAAGAATGAATTTACTATGCTCTAAATTGAGTTACTACTGGAGCTTGTGTAGCAATGATCTCAGTTACAAATTTTCAAAATAAAGCTAGATCTTAACTAAAGATTAAGATTCCTTTTATTTTATGAAGTGATGGAAAAAAGCAAAATATCTGATCTACTGTGTTACTTTTCTTCATGAACAACAAAGGATTATTAGAAATGTAACTAATACCTTTATGAAAGATATTATTAAGTTACCTATTCAATACCCATTTCCCCTTTTTCCTTCATGAGATAATGTAGATTTAAGGCATTCATGCTTCCAACTCTGACATATGAATCATGACTGTTCTAAGTTTAGGCTAATTATGGCAATCCAGCTCCCCAATTTTCAGCCTCTCTTACAATTAATATTCTAGCCATATGAAGATTTCAGAGACATAGGAAGAAGTCCTTAGAGGGGTTTTTGGGAAAGCCTTTGCTTTACAAATACAAGAGGACTAATGTGACTGAAACACTCTTATCCTCTCTGTCGTTTCTGCTTTGAATGAGGCATGGATGGTATTTGGAGGTACAAGAGCCTGTAAAGCGTAGGTATAAGGAAAAAAGAAAGAGAACATAAGAAAACATGAACTGCAGAGAACATGGCCTTGACACAGTTGATCACTGCCAGCACTTAACTACCTCAGTGAAGGGAATATGCTATGCACATTTTTATATGTCTTTTTTTTCTGTTTCTACATAGTCTGGTAGTGAATCACCAAGAAAGTCAATGGACAACAAAAGCAATTAGCAACTATCTCTTTGGCTTCCATGATCGCCAATAATCACCAAAAATAAGCTTCAAAAAATAAAAAAGGGGGAGGTGAAGGGAATATGCTATGCACAGGCCTGTGCATAGGCTACAAGGAGAGACCCAGACACACTAGGAGAAACCGTATTTTTTTCACCTAAGCACGTGTCTTAAGCATGCTAGATACTAGCATAAATAATCTTATTTATGAGAGGGATATTACTGATCCCAGTCTATAGATGAAAAAACTAAGGCTCAGAGAAGTTAACACACCATTTAATGACTATAAAAAAGATGTAACTTACCTGAAGAAATTTTGTTATCAACTCAATTCCTTCAGAGTCTAACCTAAAAACAAGGAAGGACAAGTAACCATTTATTTATTAATCTTAGCTGATAGCAACTTTCTAAATAAAACTATTTTCCAAGTGTTTTCATCTGCTAAATTCAAGTGCCCTAAAATAGCACACTTTGCTGCTTTTCAAACAGATTCAAATCTGTTTTATCCTTAAGATTTATTGTGCCACTTAAGAAGCAACAACAAGTAACTGGGCGTCAACTCAAAATTTCAATATTCAAGAGTAAATTAGATTACTAAAATGATATAATTTTTTAAAATCACCATTTTATCTCTAAACAAAATAACCTCTATTATTGAAAAAAAACTTTAGTAAACTAGATCTGTTTTCAGTGTTCTAGTGAAGGCAAGAGTACAACAGCATCATTTCATATTATATAGGTGAAAACAAGACGGTAAGAGACCTCCAAATTTGTCACTGTGGTTCAAGATAAACAGAGATGAATCACTCAACAGATTTTTACAGGACAATATGCTGAAGGTTGGGTACCAGAAGCCATAACATTCAATTTAAGTATGCCTCAATAATTTCATAACACTTTATTTAAAAGGGATACAAAACCAACGACATAGTCAATAAAGGCAGAAAACTGTAAGGATGAAATGAATAAAACAGGAAGTAGAAGATTTAGGGGTTACCTTAAAGGGATAACCTCTTGATCAGAAGTCACAAGTCACAAATTCTATCACGCACTGATATTCACTGGCAAAAGCAGAATCACGGAAACTGCTTCCCCTCCCTCCCACCTGAAGTGCTCTTAGTAGGTACTGTGGGTGCTGTGGCCTAGAGATTCTCCAGAGTCTCCTAATCCTTTGCAGTCTGCCATTCTGACAAACACCCGGAACTGTGGCTACAGATAAAGTGAAAGTTGCTCAGTCGTGTCCAACTGTGTGACCGCATGGACTATACAGTCCCTGGAATTCTCCAGGCCAGAATACTGGTGTGGGTAGCCTTTCCCTTCTCCAGGGGATCTTCCCTGGAGAAGATCAACCCAGGGGTCAAACCCAGGTCTCCCACATTGCAGGCGGATTCTTTCCCAGCTGAGCCACAAGGGAAGCCCAAGAATACTGGAGTGGGTGGCCTGTCCCTTCTCCAGTGATCTTCCCAACCCAGGAATTGAACCAGGGTCGTCTGCATTGCAGGCGGATTCTTTACCAACTGAGCTATCAGGCTACAGATAAGGTAGGTGCTAAGCTCATGAAGAATCTGCTTTAAAGAGCTGCAACTTTCACCCTAGATATTACAACAGCAAGCAATATATATATGACAAAAACAGGATTTATGCTTTTACGCTAAAAGTCTAACACGTTATATTATTCTTCCTTCTTAGGAAGTCTACTTAGAATGCTACCAGTTAGTTTACTGACAAGGCTATCAAATCACATAAACACTTTCAAAATAGTTTTGGCACCAGAATGATCTTACTAATTGTCCCTATCTTGAGAGTAAATGAAACTAGAGTGAGTATGTTATGTTGTGAGCAATGTGAATTGCTTTTGATTAAAACAGATATTTGCCTTATTTGGTATCTTGGTGCCCTTTTCACATTTATTTTTTCTTAAGGAAAGATGAAAAAATACAAAGGGGGTTAGTGATTCTATGTTACTTACAGAAATGTAATATATTCCCTAAGTAAAAACATTCTGACTCAAATTTTAATGGGTGTCTTAGATGGATCTGAGGTAGGTCTGTAACTGGATGAACAACATATAGGATATGAAGGGTCAGAAAGTTCATATTTCTTCAAATACAAATTATCATTAACACTGGCCAAAATTCTGATGCGTCATCTTGTATAAGAGCCAACATTTTACTTATAACACATTCCTAGGTAAATACAGAATGTACGTGCTTAGCCATGTCCAACTCTCTGTGATCCCATGGTCTTTGTAGCCTGCCAGGCTCCTCTGTCCATAGGATTTTCCAGGTAAGAATACTGGAGTGGGTTGCCACTTCCTCCTCCAGGGGATCTTTCTGACCCCGAGACTGAACCCGTGTCTCTAACATCTCCTGCATTGGCAGGTGGATTCTTTACCACTACACCACCTGGGAAGCCCAAAATATAGAATAATTGTGTAGAAAAAATAAATTTCATCATGGTCTTCACAGTACTGAATAAGGCATAAATCTGTTTTCTTTCTGGGAAAAGGAACAACCTACGTAAACCCTAGAATTATATTATATATATATATATATATATATATATATACACACATATATATTCTATGCTCATTTTATTTACAGTTCAATTCTGTGGACTTACATAGTTTGGTGATTCTTGGTCACTGAATTATAAAATTAATTTGACATAGGAAGAAATTAAGTTCTAAAATATTTAATAACTGTGTATGTATATCAAGTATTTTTCCTGAATCCTTACCATGACAAATGGTTCAAGAGACTAAAAAGAAAAAAAGAGAGAGAAAGACTACAAAGAATTAAAAAAAAAAAATAGTGTGTTCCCCCTTTCACGTAAAGAGAGAAAAAAAAATACCTGGGTGCATGGTTAATTAGAGGCTGCGGTTTATATTTTGGAAAGTTGTAGTTCTTGAACTCATCATTTGAAGAAACACCTGGCCAATTTTCCTGAGATGGAGTTCCTGAATTTAAAAATATATATACTTACAAATATACAGAAATTTTTATACAGGCAAATATGTATAGGCAGAACAAAAGTGTCTTAAATAACAACTTATATTCAGTAGATAATTTGATTGTTTCAACTAAAATTAGAATGACAGAAATAGTAAACAGACTTTTTTCAGACTAAGCAAAGATTCCACAAAAATGATGCCTAATTGACATATAAGTTAAAATAGTTCCTAATAATGTACTAAAAGTCAATTTTCAATAATATTTCTCTTCTCTGTGTTTCCATAAAATCATTATTGCACAGGTAGAAATCAGTAAATAAAAAGCAGAAGTTATCTAGAAGGATCTTTATCTTAACATGCAAATTCTAATTCTTATAACAGCTAGTTATGTTAGTCTCAGTATCAAATTTATATATATATATATAAATATATATATATATATTTATTTATATATTATAGTTATAGGTAACAAATCACTGGGAACAGAGTTTTTCTGTTACCTAGCAGTCGGAAGATTAAGTGCAGTTCATCTTCCACAGTTGATCCTGGAAACAGAGGTCTTCCAGAAGCCATTTCAAAGAAAATGCAACCAACACCCCTATAAAATATACCATAAAAAAAAAAGATGAGTAATCCATTTATATATTATTAAGCATAAGAATCTTTTCCTTAAGGCTGCCTCTCTGGAGAATTCTGTTCTAGCCTGCTAGAAAATCTGCAGATTTCTTTCAGATATAACTAAACTAACTTGTTAACATTTAGCTTATTTGTCTCATCTTCCATACTTCTACTGTATCCATTTTCCCCACTTAAAATGTCCAGCCCTCTTCTGCATGATCCTTGAAGAATACCACTAACCATAGCCAATAGTGATTTAATGCTTACTATGTGTTAGGCAGTGGTCAGCAGAGCTAGGGAGAAACAAATGATTCAAGTTGCTTTTATGTAGGAAGCAAGAGACAGAGCTCACAGATGTGGGGTAAGGTGAGAGAGAGTGAGTAAGACAGAGAGAGAGAGAATGTGTTAAGAGAAGGAAGAGAAATGGATAGAGGCTCACTGAATAGACACTGTCTTCTAGGACCTGTGTGAAGACATGAGTTTAAGATAGGAGTCCTTCCTTTAAGAGACTCACAACCTAGCAATTACATATATATATATAAATTAAAATATCATAGAAGATTAAATAATGGAGCCATTATGGAAAACAGTATGGTAATTCATCAAAAAATGTAAAACAGAATTGCCATCTGATCTAGCAACTCCACTTCTAAGTATACAACCAAAAGAAGAGCAGCATCGCAAAAAGGCATCTGTACACTCATGTCCACAGCAGCGCAGCAGCCAGAACGTGGGAACAACCCAGCTGTCCATCAGCACAGGAGTCAGTCAACAAACGACATGCACGTGCAATGATTATTCAGCCTTAAAAATAAGGGGAATTCTGACACATAAAAAAGCCAAGTATCTATCTTCACCAGGGGTAAACCTTGATGACATTTACGCCAAGTAAAATAACCAGTCACAGCAAAACAAATACTACATGCTGCTGCTGCTAAGTCACTTCAGTCGTGCCCGACTCTGTGCAACCCCACAGACGGCAGCCCATCAGGCTCCCCCGTCCCTGGGATTCTCCAGGCAAGAACACTGGAGTGGGTTGCCACTGCCTTCTCCAATAAATACTATATGATTTCACCTATATGAGGTACTTAGAAGTCAAATTCACAAACACAGAAAATCAGTGGAGGGAGAGGGAAATGGGGAGTTACTATTTAATAAGTACAGTTTCAGTCTGCAAAACAAAAAGAGTTGTGGAGACTGATGATGATGGATGCACAGCACTGTAAATATACTTAATGGTAAATTTGGTTATATATATTTTCCCAAAATTTAAAGAAGCTTAAAAAAGAAAAAATGTTTCACAATACAAATTATATAAATGTTCAACCCAAGACAACAACAAAACAAAGTATATGATTTATCACTACACAAAGAGCACTTGCAGTATGTGTAACCACAGTTCAAGGGAAAAAATTAGCCATGGGAGGCTAGGTTATAGTCAGGGAGGGTTTATGAAAAACTATGTTTTGAAGGCCCTAGGCACAGGCCTGAGTCAGAGAAACAGAGTAGTCATTCAAGAAGGTGAACTGGTATGAATACAAGAGCAACGCGGGGAAAGTCCAGGCTACTTATGAAAGATAGCAAGTAGCCATCTGGCTAAATGGAAACATCTATGCGAACAGTCTGAAGTAAACTGAAAAAGGTAGAGACATTTTATGAAGATTATTAAATATCTGATTGAAGAACGATACCTTATTCTATAACAGGTAGTGAATGGGGAAGCAGCAAATGTGTTTGAATAAAAGAGTGTTGTGATCATAGTGCTGGGTGAGGAAGATTACTACTGTATTTCACTATTTCAAGATCAACTCAAAGCAAGTGGGTTTTAGTGAATATTAAACAATGATAAAAATAATAATTTCGTACCAGACACTCTTCAAAGTGCTTTATATGTATCAGCTCATTTGGTCTTAACTTTACTCACAGGACAGGCTTTTAAAGTAGTTATTGTTATGATTCCCATTTCCTTAAATGAGGAAACTGAGGCACAGGCCAGTAATTTCAGAAAGGTTATATAGTTATAAGTGGTAGAATTGGTCTTTAAACCTAGGTGATCCTACTTGCCAGAACTCTTCATCATTGTTTATATTGTCTCTCCTTAAAATAACATCTCCTTAAAGCCAAATACCAATCAGTATGTCCTGTGTTAATGGCTACATTCTTTCAAAATTATAAATGGCAATAACACATGCACATATTTACCACATGTCAATCTGTGTTGAGTACTCGGAGGACCCCAGAAGCACATCAGGCGGCCGGTACCAAAGTGTGACAACTTCATTTGAGTAGGTCTTTGTGGGAACTGACTTGGCTCTGGCCAGTCCTTCAGAGGGCAAAGAAAACAAGTAAGAGACAGCTAGGATGTATTTCCCAGTTCACACGACCACAGTGACTCCGGCCACAAGGACGCCTGAGATGGCGACTCTATACCTGTTTGAAGCTAACAAATTTCGTCTTATCAATTTTTGAGTGTGCATGGTCTTGGGTCAGCAAATCTTCATGCAGTTAAACTAAATAATAATAATATTTCCACAGTCAGGGACTATGCTACTTTTACAAGTGAATGCACCTGGTCTCAGTATCTGGGCTAATCTAAACTTAATATATCTTCCTTCTATCTATGATTATGCCCAAATTATTTCCTACTCAACTTAAATTAATGCAAAACAGGCCAATGTTATTAAGGGAAACAATTTTACTTCTTACAATTATAGGCTTATTGACTTTTAACCTGATTTCAGTTTTCATTTGCTGTACCAATTCTTACCAAAAAGCATGAAGTTACTGGTCCATGATCCTGTTAAGTTTTATTAACAATTCCCTTGCAGAAGTTTTTAGTTAAAGTTTTCTTGGACTAAACTACATTGTCGTTCTGTACTTCTTAAGTTTTTCGTTATATAGTTAATATTAAAATACGATGAGCCTGTCTTTGGATATTAGTTGCTGTAGATAACATGTGCCATTCCTTTGCCTGTTGAGTATGAAATTCACTGATTATCTAGATATAAAGGCAAGAGCTCACAACTTTCTCTCTTGAGCCACTAGTATAAGAGTTGCCTTTATTACCTCCATGCCTCCAAATTCTGATCACCTAAAAAAGTTTAAAAGATATCTGAAGAAATATAAATTTTAACATATACTTTATTTCAAACAACAGGGAATAATTCATTCACAGGTTGTGATTTCTGCTCTGTGTAACTATTATATCTGATTAAAATACTAAGTAAGAAAAATGTCATAGAAGGATAATTCAATACTTTGTTAAAGCAGATAAAGTCACCCAAGTGAAACCAGAATTTTTCTTTTTGAAATCAGGCAGTATTCATACTATTTTCATTTACTTTAAGGGCTAAAGGATGTAACTGAAACAATGTTGGCACTATTTTTATTTAATTACAGATTTTACTCTACCATCCCAACTTGGTAAAATAAATTCAAAATTTGTTTGATAATTCGCAAATGGGAGCAACTTTCTAACTCCTCTTCCTGATGTAACACCAGGTCATAAGAGGAAAGGTCAGGCTGCACGTTTGCCACTCCTATACATACAACATCAAAGCCACTGCAGCTGTGGTTTCCTCAGTACCTATACTTCTCCTGAGAGAATTCTAAACTATGGTACTTGCTCAAACAGACTTCTGGTTCAGTTCACAAGTAGATTTGCAATACTGGCATGAGATGCAATAGACAATAATCTCGTCCAAACCAAATTAACTAAATGTGACATGGTATTATATAAGCCATTTTCTATTATTAATGAAAATGTCTATTTATATGAATACTTCCCTGATCACAGGAAAAGTAGAATTTTCATCTAGATCAACAACAACTTTATACCTCTGGAGATCCCCTGAAAGGGTCTCAGCACGCTTAGGGGACTATGGACCAGTTCTGAGAACCTGTGATGTTTAGCATTCACTAACATAACTGACCACCAAAATTTTCAAATATCTTCCAAAAATTTCCAAACCCACATAAAAAGCAACAGTACAGTGTCAATACTTGTTTTTTCTTTTAAAACTTAACCACCTGGAACTATCTATAAATATCTCATACATTCCGTACCAAAATCTGCTAGCTTTAATTCTCCTTTTTCATTAATGAGGAGGTTCTGTGGTTTTAAATCTCGGTGTAACACCTTTCTTCTGTGGCAATATGCCAAACCACGTAGAATTTGGTATAAAAACAGCTATGGAAACAAAAAACAGAAATTAGTCTTACAGATAATAAGACATACTTTGGTATAAATTATGGTAAACAGAAAAGCAACTGGCCTAGAATAGTCAAAGAAAAAAAAGGAACCATCTCCTTTTCCTTACATACTTACCAGAAGTTTACAATTTATTATTCTATTTGAAGCATGTATTTTTTTAGTGTGAACAAATGAAACTTTATCTTAGTAGTAATAGTTCACTTATTGCTAAAAATGATTTTAAATAAATGTACTTCATAAACTTACAGGTCTACTAATTGGGTCTACAGTTTAATTATGAAATCTCACAAAACAATCAATCTTCTACCATTACCCCACCCTACTCCCCCTGAAAAAATACTGATGCAGGACGAAGCCTTTAATATGAGGCACTGGAGCCGGTGGTTCTATGAAAATTGTGAAGTGTCAAAGAGATCGGTGCTGCACAGCTCTGGCCAATTATGTGCTACAAAAATAACCTAAAATAACCTAACCCAGCTTCCATCACCCACCTCCTGGGTACTTTACTTTCAGCACCGCCCACTCAGCCTTCAAAACCTGCTATGATTCAGAAAAGGGATTAAGCACTGTGGAGCTCTGAATGACTCCTGGAAAAAAGCAATTCCTATAAGGCTAATGGTAGACTTTTTTGTTGCAGATTTTGGTGGAAAAGGGAATATGAAACGCAGAAGGTATTTGATTCTTTGTGGTTAACAAAAAAGAGCCTCAAGTCCAGAGCATTCAGGAGTGTACCCTTGGTTTCTTGGAAGGTGAAAAATAGCATTAGAACTTGGAGAATAACCCGAGGCAGCAGGTGAACAGTGGGCCAGAAGAAACTGCAATTAGCAGAGCTTCTATACTCTACATATTTATGTTTTGAAAACTCTTAAATTACTACTTCCAAATATTCTCATTACTTTTTATGTTTAACAGAGAATAAAATACTTTGCAACTTAATTCAGGCATGCAGACTTGGCTTAAGACAAACTTCTCAAATCTTTGTTAAATTATGATAATTAAGGACAACTTCATTTCCTAATTATTGATGACTGTAGGAAAAACAACATAAAAGCCATAGCAGAAGTAAACATAAATGAGATTCACAACACCTTGCCAAATAAAATATAAAATATGATGAGAACAATTCTCATTGAAAATATATGGAAAAGAGACTTAAAAATTAAAGCCCTATTCTAAAATTCCTAACAATGTGTTATATCCATATATTTTGAACTATTTTTTAGTAAAAGAAACTGGCTCTATTTAAAAAAGTATCAAGTTTAAAGTTAGTATCTATAGAACTGGAACTGTCGCAAAAACCACAGCTGGGACAGCCTATTTTCAAAACAGTCTCATGAACCATTGAGTGAGTTCGGATAAACAGATCTTTGCTAAATTTGGAGTAAATCCAGTCAAAGAAACCTACTGTAAAAACACAACTGTATCAAGGGTTTTTACTTGATCTTACTTTTACTTTAGGGCTTTATCTGGCACAAAGTTTATGTCAAACTTTTCTATCATTACTTGCATCTTCACATATTTTTCAGGTAAGAAAACATAATTATCTTTTCCTCCTAATAGTGCAGAATGGTATTTCCAGCCTAGTATTCATAATACCTACACAGCTTCCTGACCTTACTCATTAGATTAGTACCTTCAAAAGTTGTTTTATAATTAAATACCATTCTAAATATGGGGACTTTGCCATTTAAAGGAGGCCCTTTGCAAAATGCACTGTATCATTTTCATTTCCCTTAAACATTTGGATTCTGATAAAACAGGCCTGTTGTTTCCTTTTTAAGAAGAATATGCCTGTAAATGTATTCTATATATATCCAAGAGAACCAATAATACTGTGAAAGGAAATGTCAGAAGACTTTTCTGCTTTGAAGCAGAAAAAGGTTAAAGGTTTATTGAAGGGCCAAGAAAGGAGAACAAGTGGCTCCTACTCAAAAACCTCAAATTCCTCCGAAGTACTTATTAAAACTTTTAAAATGAAATAGTTCTACAAAATAGGTCTGATTCTAGTAAATACTACAGTATAGCAAACACTAGTTCTGAGTAAATGTGTTCATACAACAACCTCTTTAAAATGCATAACAAAAAATTCTGAAGCAGAATAGTTATGAGACTGGCATATTTCATTATGTAATGCAGTTTGTCTCTGCTTAAGTGTTTGTCTCTAAACAAAATTTTAAATGACACAGTAAGCATACCTTTACGTTGTGCATACTCATGATGTTTCCACAGTCATCCATGTACTGTTTTAGATCTTTATCCTGAAAAAATTTAGCACTATGTGATACATAGTTTTGAGAAGACATGACATTTTAAAAATAAGTTTGCTTTTTAAAACTGAAGTATAGTTGCTTCTCAATGTTGTGTTAGTTTCTGGTATACAAAAAAGTGGTTAAGTTATATGGAGATATTAAATATTCTTTTTTAAAAAAATTAGTTGTTTTTTGAAGAAAGATACTGAATGTACCACACATAATTAAATACTAATAACAAGAATGTCCCTGGGGCTGTTAAAAAATCCAATCTGTGATTTTTTTAATAGCAAAATTAAATACTGAAGTTTTATTAAATGCTTACCAGATACTCAAAGACCAGAGTCAAAGATTTATCTGTATGAACAATGTCATGTAAGGTTACTATATTTGCATGTTTTAGATCCTTTAACAGTGAAACTGCAAAACAGAAAAGAAAGGCAATTATTTAGTATGTGGTAGCCAGTCTTTTAAAAAACCCTAAGTTTAACATATGCATACCTGAATTTAGGAGTCTCTTAAAACAATCCAAAGGGATTTGTAGTAGAAATTTTAATAGAATTTTTTCTTTTCTTTTATGGTACTGTGTTTGATATTTTTAATACTTAAATTATTCCTAATACTACACTAATACTCTCCATAACATCTTTTTTTGGCTCAAATGTTAACTTATCGAGACTGTCCCAAGATATGTTTTCTTCTTCCAAACTGGCTTATCAGTTGCCTCACACCATTTTCTGGATAATCCTTTTAAAAAAATGCTACCATTATAAAAATATAGTTACATCCTGTATACACTTATTTATGGTCAGCTCTTCCCCTAAGCATCAATATGTAACATCTCCCAGTGTCAAGTGTTTGTCTATGATAATGATCTTATGACTTCATAGTATTTCATCATAAGCTGTATGATAATATATCTAATTCCTTTTTGTTAAATATTTTAGCTTCAGACATTGCTTCTACCCCCAGGGCCTCATTTTATTGTATTTTTTTTCCTCAATGAGATGCCATTAGTTGTGATAGCATATTATTTTCCAGTCATGTATTATTTCTATATCTGAACTCTTTGTACTTACAAAAAATGAACTCTTATTACATAGCTTTGATCTTAAAATGTTCTATGTAAATTTCATAAAACATTCTGCTCGCAAAAAGTACTAATTGTACCTTCTCTTATTGCTGTGCAGGGCGCACCTTCTTCATGTTCCAACCGGATCTCTTTCAAGGCCACCAAATTCTCTGTCAATTTACTTCTTCCTTTATATACTGTTGCATATGTACCCTACAGAATATATTTTCAAAAGATACATGAAAGCAGCATGAGTCTATTTATATCATCAATACAAGAAAGAGCCCTGACTAAATTCCTAATTTCTAATCATGTGTTGAATTCCATCTTGCAGAGAAAACTCCACCGTAATCAGCCTTGGCTTCCCTGCAGCCGAGAGGACGTCCGCTCCCTGTGCAGCTTCCCTACTCTTGCAACCCTAGAGGGCTTCAAAAGTAAGAACACAAGGAGAATATTTAATTTAAAAGCATTGTGTTAACTATAACTGCAATGCTATGTGAAGATTGAGGAAATTAATTAAGCAAATTAAGTGAAAACTGAAACTGTAACTAACATATTATTAAAATTTTACCCATTTTCAGAATCTTTGTATGCTAGAGCTCTCCTTCAAAAACCAAATGTATTCTACAGATATCTTCTTTTTTTTTTTTTTACAGATATCTTCTATCATGGCCAAGACAGTTCTCAAACTCCCTTAAGGCCTCCCTAATAACTAATTCTATTATTTTCTTTCCACTTTATCACTCTGGGAAGCAGACCATTTCAAAATTAGTACTAGTAGCAAGTTCAAGAAAACCTTGAATTTCATTTCAAAAAAATGAGCCAAGAATTGCCTTAACCATTATGATGTGTCTTTAGCCTTACATATAGTATTTTGATTGTTCACAAGTTTGAGCACATGGAATTTCCCACAGCACAGTCACAGAGTACCAAGGAGCAAACTAAAAGATAGATGCCTATTTTGTTACCAAAAAAGCACAATATTTTGTGCATCAACTGAAGGTTACAATGCTATTTAAAAAATTCATTTCTTCTCACACTGATGGAATAATTTCAAGAATTGAAGGGTATTTCCTTCTAACATTCTGTTGCCTTTACAGGACACGATACAATCCTTTAGGTGATAAACAGGAAAAATATGTATCTTACATTTTCAAAGTAAGTATTAACTTACCTCTCCAAGCTTTTCCAATTTGATGTAGGTTTCCATTTTTCCAAACCCAATTTCTGACTGAAAGCAAACAATTATAAATTTAGTGTTCTTAAAATTTCAATTCTTCTCTGCCTCAATATCTGAAACTCTCCTGCTCTTGAGGAATGTTTTGGAATAGAAAAATCTGATTAAATAGTTGAACATCTGTCAGATTTTAAAATAATTTTTTAAAATTGGAACATTCAAAGGCTGAAAAAGTTCACAATTAAAACTGACAACTCACCTTTTTTACAAATCAGTTAACATTCTGCTTTGAAAAAATTCTGTTCTACCTTAAGACTCTGAAATTTTAAGATATCATAGGCATTTTAGGATACAAAAGGATTTTATAAAAGGTAACTACATGATTTAACAAAATCACAAAATAAACAATTTTCCTACATATTTTCCTTCATCAATCTTTTGTCTTCCCTAGGAAAGCCTGCAAACAAAACACTATTTCAGGTTTTCCCATCAAAGTATAATAAGAAGGATAACTACATGTCATACTCTATGATGAGTCAGGAAATGGCTAACACAGAAGAAGTAATATAAGTCTAAATCAGTCTCCTCCATGCCCCACAAAAGGCTTTAAAAGTGAGTTCTGAAAAGCATTGCTTTTAAACCTTGAGCTTGTTTGACTATTTTGTATGGAGTCAATAAATGAGGTAGATGGACTACTCAAATATGCAATGGAAACCCAGTATTTTAAAAATAATTTAAAAAAAAAAAACACCTAACACAAAAGATTTAGGGGAAAAAACAAAATGATAAAAATATAAAGATTGTGAGAGGAGAAAAGTTAAAAAGAAGAGAATAAGAATTTTCTTAAATTCCTTTCTAGTACCCCTTTTGCGCTTTACTGGAGCAGCCGTGAAGACATACCCCCCCCCACATCCAAGGTAAGAGAAACCCAAGTAAGAGGGTAGGTGTTGCGAGAGGGCATCAGAGGGCAGACACACTAAAACCATAATCACAGAAAACCAGCCAGTCTGATCACAGGACCACAGCCTTGTCTAACTCAGTGAAACTAAGCCATGCCGTGTGGGGCCACCCAAGACGGACGGGTCATGGTGGAGAGGTCTGACAGAATGTGATCCACTGGAGAAGGGAATGGCAAACCACTTAAGTATACTTGCCTTGAGAACCCCATAAACAGTATGAGAAGGCAAAATGATAGGACACTGAAAGAGGAACTCCCTAGGTCAGTAGGTGCCCAATATGCTACTGGAGATCAGTGGAGAAATAACTCCAGAAAGAATGAAGGGATGGAGCCAAAGCAAAAACAATACCCAGTTGTGGATGTGACTGGTGATAGAAGCAAGGTCCGAAGCTGTAAAGAGCAATATTGCATAGGAACCTGGAATGTTAGGTCCATGAATCAAGGCAAATTGGAAGTGGTCAAACAGGACATGGCAAGAGTGAATGTCGACACTCTAGGAATCAGCGAACTAAAATGGACTGGAATGGGTGAATTTAACTCAGATGACCATTATATCTACTACTGTGGGCAGGAATCCCTTAGAAGAAATGGAGTAGCCATCATGGTCAACAGAAGGGTCCGAAATGCAGTACTTGGATGCAATCTCAAAAATGACAGAATGATCTCTGTTCATTTCCAAGGCAAACCATTCAATATCATGGTAATCCAAGCCTATGCCCCAACAGTAACGCTGAAGAAGCTGAACTTGAACGGTTCTATGAAGACTTACAAGACCTTTTAGAACTAACACCCAAAAAAGATGTCCTTTTCATTATAGGGGACTGGAATGCAAAAGTAGGAAGTCAAGAAACACCTGGAGTAACAGGCAAATTTGGCCTTGGAGTACAGAATGAAGCAGGGCAAAGGCTAATAGAGTTTTGCCAAGAAAACGCACTGGTCATAGCAAACATCCTCTTCCGACAACACAAGAGAAGACTCTACACATGGACATCACCAGATGGTCAACACTGAAATCAGACTGATTATATTCTTTGCAGCCAAAGATGGAGAAGCTATACAGTCAGCAAAAACAAGACCGGGAGCTGACTGTGGCTCAGATCATGAACTCCTTATTGCCAAATTCAGACTTAAACTGAAGAAAGTAGGGAAGACCACTAGACCATTCAGGTATGACCTAAATCAAATCCCTTATGACTATACAGTAGAAGTGAGAAATAGATTTAAGGGACTAGATCTGATAGACAGAGAGCCTGAAGAACTATGGACGGAGGTTTGTGACACTGTACAGGAGACAGGGATCAAGACCATCCCCATGGAAAAGCAATGCAAAAAGGCAAAATGATTGTCTGAGGAGGCCTTACAAATAGCTGTGAAAAGAAGAGAAGGGAAAAGCAAAGGAGAAAAGGAAAGACATTCCCATTTGAACGTAGAGTTCCAAAGAATATCCAGGAGAAATAGGAAAGCCTTCCTCAGCAATCAACACAAAGAAACAGAGGAAAACAACAGAATGGGGAAGACTAAAGATCTCTTCAAGAAAATTAGAGATGCCAAGGGAATGTTTCATACAAAAATGGGCACAATAAAGGACAGAAATGGTATGGACCTAACAGAAGCAGAAGATGTTAAGAAGAGGTGGCAAGAATACACAGAAGAACTGTACAAAAAAGATCTTCACGACCCAGATCATCACAACGGTGTGATCACTCACCTAGAGCCAGACATCCTGGAATGTGAAGTCAAGTGATGCTTAGAAAGCATCACTACGAACAAAGCTAGTGGATGCGATGGAATTCCAGTTGAGCCATTTCAAATCCTGAAAGATGATGCTATGAAAGTGCTGCACTCAATATGCCAGCAAATTTGGAAAACTCAGCAGTGGCCACAGGACTGGAAAAGGTCAGTTTTCATTCCAGTCCCTAAGAAAGGCAATCCCAAAGAATTCTCAAACTACCGCACAATTGCACTCATCTCACACGCTTAGTAAAGTAATGCTCAAAATTCTCCAAGCCAGGCTTCAGCAATACGTGAACCGAGAACTTCCAGATGTTCAAGATGGTTTTAAGAAAAGGCAGAGGAACCAGAGATCAAATTGCCAACATCCGCTGGATCATCGAAAAAGCAAGAGAGTTCCAGAAAAACACCTATTTCTGCTTTATTGACTACGCCAAAGCCTTCGACTGTGTGGATCACAACAAACTGTGGAAAATTCTGAAAGAGATGGGAATACCAGACCACCTGACCTGCCTCTTGAGAAACCTGTATGCAGGTCAGGAAGCAACAGTTAGAACTGGACATGGAACAACAGACGGGTTCCAAATAGGAAAAGGAGTACGTCAAGGCTGTATATTGTCACCCTGCTTATTTAACTTATATGCAGAATACATCATGAGAAATGCTGGGCTGGCAGAAGCACAAGCTGGAATGAAGATTGCCGGGAGAAATGTCAATAACCTCAGATATGCAGATGACACCACCCTTATGGCAGAAAGTGAAGAGGAACTAAAAAGCCTCTTGATGAAAGTGAAAGAGCAGAGTGAAAAAGTTGGCTTAAAGCTTAACATTCAGAAAACTAAGATCATGGCATCTGGTCTCATCACCTCATGGGAAACAGATAGGGAGACAGTGGAAACAATGTCAGACTTTATTTTTTTGGGCTCCAAAATCACTGCAGATGGTGACTGTAGCCATGACATTAAAAGACGCTTACTCCTTGGAAGGAAAGTTATGACCAACCTAGATAGCATATGAAAAAGCAGAGACATTACTTTGCCAACAAAGGTCCATCTGGTCAAGGCTATGGTTCTTCCAGTGGTCATGTATGGATGTGAGAGTTGGACTGTGAAGAAAGCTGAGCACCGAAAAATTGATGCTTTTGGACTATGGTGTTGGAGAAGACTCTTGAGAGTCCCTTGGACTGCAAGGAGATCCAACCAGTCCATCCTAAAGGAGATCAGTCCTGGGTATTCACTGGAAGGACTGATGCTGAAGTTGAAACTCCAATACTCTGGCCACCTCATGTGAGGAGCTGACTCGGAAAAGACCCTGATGCTGGGAGGGATTGGGGGCTGGAGGAGAAGGGGACGACAGAGGATGAGATGGCTGGATGGCATCACCGACTCGATGGGCATGAGTTTGAGTATACTCTGGGAGCTGGTGATGGACAGGGAGGCCTCGAGTGCTGCGATTCATGGGGTCGCAAAGAGTTGGACACGACTGAGCTGAACTGAACCCCTTTTGTAGATAGTGGAAAGGGCAACAGTAATCTAAAACTTCACTTCTCAGAGTGATACTAATGCCCTTACGTAGCCAATGAAAGGAATAACGTTCTTTTATGTATAACTTCAGCTCTTATAGGCGTATGCTGGATCATTAAATTCTATGTCAAATTCCGGAGTTTCAGACACACTTTTTCTCGAGGTGTTGAACAAAATAAAAATAATACTTGACAATTTGACTTAATATCAGTCACCACTTGAAACAAAAAAGGTAAACTGCCCAAAACTGACAGTCAAAAGTAGCAGGGGCCTCTCAAAGGAACTGTTGTTATCCTTTTTAACAAGACGTATATATCACTTTAAAAGCCATGCGGAAAACTGCATATTCAATGGTACTCATTCAATTCTGGTAAACGAATAAAAACTGTGGTCACAGGTGGTACTGGTGGTATCGCTGAAGGACTGAAAAATTGCTTCTCTCTGTGTACTCTTAAAGACTTTCTTCTATATATGGTATTTTCAAAAAAAATTAAAGAAGTGAGATTCTTGGGATCCATCATGATCCATCCACCCATGCACTATTTTATATATGATTTAAGTCCTTATTCTGTATTGTCAATAATTATACAGGATAATAAAACTACAAGATAACACTTTCCAAATACAAATGGAGTTTTTAATTTTAATTTTAATATGGGAAATGTGGCAAAGAGACCACGATTTGATACACGAGAATCTGATTCTGAGTAATCTTTTGATTTTTGTAGTTTTTCTATAGTCTATTTACATATGATCTCACATAACACTTTAAAAAAAAGGCTTATTGCCAAAGTCACACAAACTATGATAGAGTGTTTATTTTCTTATACCTATCTCTAGAA